AGGCGGCGCACTCCACACTTCTCTTGGCAACTCAATCATGTACGCCGTGCAATCCCAGCCCCTTACGTGCGTACACATGCGTGTGTAATATTCTCGCTAACAGCACTTCTTGCCCCAACAGTCTGTTAAGGCTATACAGGGGATCTTTGTCTTTGACATTCTCTACCTGTACAGCACCCAGGTCCCCCTTGCAAATGAGACTCATCCTGATCCCTTGAGTTCCCACCGGATAAACAAAATGCACTCGATGTGCACGTGACATGCTGGACACTGGTGCCGCGTCTCCACCACCACCGGGAAGCGTGGCTCTACCCCAATAGCCCTGGGACAGCCGTAGACCATGCCAGGGTGAGCATCAGTGCCCAGGCTCCACGAGCCGCCCACCACCCTCTACCGTCCACAGCCAGCGTGGGGGGGGGGGGTTAGGAATAAAAAAGATTAAAACGTTAAACACATTGTTGGGTTAGTTTCGGCTATTCAAGTTCGAACCACTCTTTGCAATTTTCTGGCGTGTGCGTTTCACACGAGCGCCACTGGCCAGTCGAACTGCGCCACCGACCTCCCGGTCAGCGCTGGCACCGCGACGTTGTTGTGAGGCTCGGGGTGAATGCGCTCCGCCCCCTGCGTCGCGTCGAGCGCCAGGCCAGCACGCCCGTGGTGGTGGTGGTGGTGATGGTGGGAACGCAGCACGAAGTGGGCGGCACACCACGCCGCCACACACACCGCGCTGCACTTTCGGGTGCGCTCCTGCGGCCGTCTGGAACGCTCTTCCTTCTGATATTAGGAAGCCACTGGATCAATGCACTTTTACATCTAGATTTAAAAACTCATTTCCTTAAAACTGCTTTTTGTCTGTTAGTCTGTTGTCCTTCCCCCGCACCTCCAATTAGCACGGTTGGCTACGTACGGTGCGAAATAAGTTAGCATGGCGTACACGAACGAGTAGGCCAAGAGAAACGTCACGGAGATGATATGAGGGCTGAACAGAGGGCAGGTGAGGAGAGAGTGACAGATACACGGCACAGGATGTGGCGGAGTCTCTCTGTGCTCTGCGACATCCCCGCCCTGGAGGAACGTTTGTTTTCTGCGTTTTGCCTCGTTTGGAAGAAGGAACTTTGGCGAACCCTCGACGCTCAAAAGTAGCGCCGCATGGACACAGGCGTAAATCTTCCTTCAAAAAGATATCCCGAGGCGGAAGCTTAGTGCTGGATGCAACTGCATTTGCAAACGTGATTTGTAACTTTGATCCTTACCCATGTATCGACAGTTACATTTTAATGTACAAATTAATTAGGGACTGTGCGCTGTTGTCTTGATGTGGTCTGGGACCGTTCTTGCTGTTGTTTTGCTGCCTTGCCCAAGCATGCGAATTGGTGTACTTATGCAATTTGAACTTATACTCTTATATTTAAAAACAATCACCTGAGGACAATTGCTTGTGTTGCGATGAAAACGTCGTGATTTTTATTATTATTTTTCTATCTACGCGACTTTACGGAAAGACCCAAAGAGTATGAATTCCTGCAGTCACGAAAGCTTTAAGTCAAGATTCAATTTGAACTTATATACCTTATCGATTGTATGTTATTTTTAGACATTTGCATACCTCCCCTATACTTTGCATCCCTGCTATGTTTGTGTCATTTGTTGTTGTAACTTTCTGACCCGCCACCTAATGTACATCTGTAAAAAAAATAGCTTCATAGCTCATCGGATTTCTCCAGGGATAGATAATGATTCTGATCCTAAAAGACTCTGAGGCGATTTCCAAAACGCCGACGAATGTCACCGACTCAGGGCCACTTTCAACCAGAAGCACCGGAGCACGCCGATAGATCGGAGCTGCTCCTCGCTCACCAACTCCGCCACTCGCACGGCGGACAGAAAGTGCGGGCCGCCCAACGTCCCATCGAGCCATGAGGGCGAGACGACGCTGAGCGACGCGCGGCAGCACATTACAAGTGACAGATTAAGATAATCGGATTGCCGAGGCAGAAAGGGGTAACAGTGCGTAATCTGATTACCCTTATTTAGCACGCACAGGTCGATCGCTCTGGATGATAACTTTTATTTTATAGATTTAAAAATGTTTCCAAACACAATTAAGTGTGAGGGAGGGGGGAACTAACAAGTCAGCAGTTTGGGTTAAAAGTGAGGTGAGCAGCCGCCAATGCACATGCTGCACTGTACAGGGGCCGAAAAACATGATCTAAATGTACAAAGCAGAAGTGCTGTTCAGTCCAAGGTTACAACCAACACACACACACGCTAATTTAAAGGAAATCGAGCAATCCCATTATGTTGCTTTGAAAATACCGAAGACACGATTATATTAGATTAGTTCTAAAAGCGGAGGTGCCGGATGGCTCCGAGGTCAGAGCGCTGAGCCAGCACTGCTGAGCTTCCACTTCCAATCCGGGTTTGGAAGGCAGTGATTAAACTGCGCCCCTCCAGCATTGCTCATTGGCTAGGCCCTTCCACCAATAATTGCATGCAAGACATGACACATTTGCTTTTCACTAGAATTGACTAAGTATGTAGATTGGACGAGATTGCGAACATCGGTTTGTCACGTAACAACCGCAGAGTAGAGTGAGTGGGATAGAGAGCTCCCTCAATGTGGCTATTCGGAAGATTCAGTTTGTGAGAAGCCTCTCGCGAAAAAGCCTTCCCTGTAGGCCCATTCTCTGACACCTAGGGCACGCTTGTGTGAGGGAATTCCAAAAGGATTCATCTCATAACACGATGCCGATAGCATGACTGAAACACACTGTGGGGGTGGGGGGAATCTGTACACTAAAGTAAATATTATTTCAAAAACCTCAATATCAATATTAGAAATCGGAAATTGATTAATTTTAAGTGTAACCCTCCCGGCACTGCATGAACAACGTCAATGCTGACACGTCATCTTCGCCCAGAGCTTCCGACACCCCCGAGAATTCCCTGACACTAGCAGCGGCAATAAGTGTGGACTCCCCCTGTCCCTACTAGATAAAGTGATTCACAAAAAACAAGGGCACATAAGCCCAATCCCACGACTTAAACGATGCACACACACAGAAGACCCCTGCTCCGTGACAGCATCTGCTGCCGAGTATTCACCGCGCTGGGGTGTGGGGCACTGTGGAGATGCTTGCCGCTCCCCTCCTCCATCGAGGGGTGTTCATCCACAGCCAACGCTGCCACAGCCAACGCAGCCACAGCCAACGCAGCCACAGCCCATGCCACAACCAACGCAGCCACAGCCTATGCCACAGCCAATGGCATAGCCAAAGTTGCCACAGCCAACGCTGCAGTCAACGCCACGAAGCCTATCTGCACGATAGCCCCCCCCTCCTGCCTCAACCAAAAAAATGGTGACTTCAAAAAACCGATCCTCCCTTCAAAAGCCCTGTCAGGACCGTATCTTGAGATCCCGTCGCATTTATACACCTGATTAATCCAAGCCGCGTTGTATCTAATGTATAATGTATGCATGTGGAAGTATATTTTATGTATATTTAAACACTCTGAGGCGCGAATCCCTCACATCTAAGATGAGCTCATCCACGGTTCCAAGTAACCCAACATCCTCTCAACTGCAGACCCTTATAGATTTGTATGAGAAAGAAAAAAACTAACAAGAAACTAACAAATAACCATAAACCACAAAGGAGTATTCCAGTCCTAAATCGCTTCAAACTTTTGACGACGATGATTGTACCTGATGAAGCCGCTTCAAAGCGACCCCTCGTTCTGATCTCCGGAGCCGTAACGATCGCAGACGTCGGATCCGCAACAGGCGGCAATGCTCCCTCATTGGCTCACTAAAATGTTCGCTGCACTGCCTCTGCCCGCGTCATCACACGCAGCCACAGGAATATTATACTTTAAAAAAACACGTGACTTCACTTGTGTACATGCTGTCCGCTGTAGGAGCATGGCAGTAGGCAAGTGATAAAATATTACGATGTGAGGATCTGCGGATAGCCAACTAGGAAAGGGTGTTTGGGAATTCCGATCACGTATGCCACCCAGCCAGCAAGCAATTTCTTGGCCTACCTCTGCAGAAGAGGCTGCTGCTGTGAACTACAAAGGTCACAATACAGTATCACAATTACATTGATGAGACACTGTCAAAACCGATCCGGAGTGTTCTTGTGTCGTGGAGGGCCAAATATGCGGAGGTGTATTGTCTGCTTATTTATGTTGCGACTACAAAGGCAGATAAAAATGTTCGGCATAAAAACATTACCCTAAAACGCAAATGTGCGTGATTTGGAGAGGAAAAAAACAGAGCCAGGATGACTCTAAAGAACGCTTGAGGCTCCCGAGTTAGTGGGCAAAAAACGTCATGGGTGTCAAAGCAAGAATACATACAAGGAAAGAGAAGATTTGGCTTGAATGAAAGCAAACGATGACACAACTCGCTCGGAATTGAAATAATTAAATTGCGAAGTCAGGGCCGGCGATCCTGCCACGGTGTAACAGTTTAACGGTTTATCGCACTGGACATGCAATCCAGGGGTCACCGGTTTGATCCTATCGCCTGGCGCCACAGGGGACAAATATCGTACATCCCCGTCACTTCCTCTGTCCAGCCGGCGGCACGAATGGGTTCGCCACGGTGAGTCGATCGTCAGGTCCCGTCTGGTGGGCTAAAGAAGCGTGGGTAGCCTCATCTCTTCCCGAGAAGCCTGGCCAGACGAGGAAGAGTAGGCCAAATACACCTCTACTTATTTACGTTGAACTTATTTTGCACTGCACGAAGCCAACTGTGCTTATCGGGAGGGGGGAGGGGGAGTTCCCTGGAGCACGCCTCTAAGGGAGCCCCCCCCCCCCCCCCATTGCCCAGCCAGCAGCGGCGCCAGTGAGCGATTTCAGGGTGGGAAACCTTTCCATCAGAGCCTTCGAGGGCCAGCGCCCGCTACCACAGGAAAATAACTGGTGGCACTCGCCGCGAGCCAGGCAGAGCACCCGGGGCTCCACCGCGCATTCCCCCCACCACCGCTCCTCACCTTCAGTGGGCGAGGTCTTGAGCCTTTTGCAGAGGCCGTAGACGTCGCCGTAGGAGTCCTGCAGCTTGCACAGCGCCTCGGCCCCACGCAGCTCCATGAGGCCCCGCAGCTCCGGCAGGGAGCACCCAAAATCGCTGTCGTGGTTCGCCTCCGAGCGAGGGCTCTTAGGCAGAAAATCCACCGTGCTGTTCGCCATGTCTCCCATCGTTCCGCTGTCACGTGTCCCGGGAGGGAACCACGACTTTTGTCTTGTCGCAGGAAGGAGATTCGGACCAATTGAGAACGGATTCCGAAATTTCCTTACGCAACGTCAGGTGTCAACATTGTAAAAATAAACACTTGGGAAAGTGTCAAATTTTACTAATGTTATGTTTCCAACAAAAGAGCGATCAGTTAGTTTTTTTATACTATTAAATGTGATTTTAAAAGATATTTGTGACTATCCGAGAGGGGGCAGTCAGGTGGGGACTATTCACAACCGGATTCGTGACAAGCACGACTCCATGTGAAGGGGAGAGTGAACACGGTCGATCCGCCACAGTGGCCGCCCTGACGCCGAACAGTTCCAGAAGAAATCCAAGATGTCTGGCTCCTCACAGCTGGCAGACACTCGGCACATAATTCCATACATGGCCTCCATCCATGTCGCCGGTGTCCGCGGTTGCTTTGTCGCTCGCTTTCCCCAGCAGCATCAGCCGGAAGTGGTCCCTGCGATCGACAGCGAGGGAAAGGATGGCGGAGCGCCACGTTGGAACGACAACAAGGCGGACAGAAAGTGGTCAACCTGCGCTTCAAAAACCCGGCCGTGCGAAGCAGCAAGTCTGACAAGGATGCATTTATAGCATTCGAAAATGTGCTCTCAGACTAATAAAGGCCATTACAACGTCCAAAATATCAATAAATTGTCGCGACATATTACGTGCAACGTTATTTCTTTTTATTTATGACGCGGCTCGGCCGCCCCACACCAATGGGGGGGGGAAGGGCAGCAGATCCCACGATCCGTTATGGAATCCAGCAAGCCCCAAACTTTAACCCAAAGCCATGGCCACCTTCCTTCACAAACCTGCGCTGACCAACGACTGACACCGCATGGGGAGGCTTTCGACCAACCGGTCGATCGGAAAAAGAACCGTGAATTATTTATTCATCACGGTGTGATGAGTATATACGCCGTGCAATAAAGGCCGCACACAAATGCAAAGCGCACCATGTACGGCATGTGTGTGTTTACACTCTGGAAAGGGCGTCGTCATGACTTAATGTAATAATGCATCTCAAATGCTGAGCTCCATTCACATTACTAGAGCGCGATGAGGGCGCCTTGTAGGGACCGGCTCGGAGGTACGTATGGTTCCACATTTATTTATAATTTGCACGTGGGTGTATAATTCAATGCAGTCCGAATTTTGAGGGAGACTCCGCTTTGATTTGTGCGCTTTTACAGAACCCAGCCAAATGAGGTTAAGATGCGCACTTTACTCCGCTCACTACACGATGACCCCGTTTGCTGTTGCAGGCTGACGCCGGGCGGGGGGGGGGTGTTCCTACGTTGATGCCGTGTTTCTTTTCACCCAAGGCATGGCCTCCTTGCTCGGTCCCAACAAACGGCCACCTTTCGCTCGCAGACCAGCCACTGCTCCCCCCCCCACCCCCACGTCGGTTTCATGAATGCCACGCTCAATCAAAAAAATGCTTGCACAGCTCGTCAGGACTCAGATGTAGTTTGTGGCAAGCAGGTTGAGAAACTCGAGAGACCAGGACGAGTCTCGTCCGCAAGAGTGACTGTCCTGCGTTACCAAAACGACAATATAAATAACGTGAAGAAAAAAAACCCAAGTTCAGCATTGAAGTAAATAGAAATCAGAGCAAAAGCAAAATCAGTATTCTAGATTTAAAGCTTTCGTGACTGCTAGGATCCATACTCTTTGGTTCTATTGGGTAAAATCACGTAGGTAAAAAAATAAAATAACAAAAAACACGACGTTTCGGCCACAACACAAGCGACCTTCATCAGGTGAAGGGACGAGACTGTCTGGAGGACAACGCTGGAGTGAAAAAAGCCACGCTCAGATCACGACCTTTAAGCTGTGTGAGAAGAAACAAAGCGCCTTGACAAAGGAATTAGCATATAATTTAGCATTGAAATGGCTCATTGAAATAGCTAAGTTAAAGTATACACATCCGCAGAGGCACCCCTTGGCAAAGGAATTAGCATAGAATTTAGCATTGAAATAGCTGAGTGATTAGTAGGTTGAGAAACTTTGCAAACCCACGGGTTTTTATCAGAGATTTGTCCACGAGGCAATTCAGATCTACAAACACAGACACAATTTCAACCGAGAAGATGGTTTCAAATTAAGCAACCATTGGAAAGATGTTCTAAATCGAACTAAACATTAAACTAATTTCAATGGTACAGTATATTTTTCAAGTAGTGGTACCACAAACTTTCACAGCTCTTATAAATTCCCTTTTCACACCATCAATAGGTAAACTCCCCCTCCCCCCCCCCCAGCGCCAAACGGCAAGTCCACCGGCACGTACACCACCTCTTTTCTAAAATCGGCCAATCAAATGCTAATTTTTATGCTAATTTCTTTGTCAGGACACCTTGTTTGCTCGCACACAGTTTAAAGGTCCGCGGTCTGAGCGTGGTTGTGTTTCGCTAAATTCTCCTGTTTAATTTGTACTAGGTGCCTCGGTGAATGTATATGCTATGACTTTAACATAGCTATTTCTGTGACCAGTTACAAGCTAATCACTCAGCTATTTCAATGCTAAATTCTATGCTAATTCCTTTGTCAAGGGGTGCCTCTGCGGATGTGTATACTTTAACTTAGCTATTTCAATGAGCCATTTCAATGCTAAATTATATGCTAATTCCTTTGTCAAGGCGCTTTGTTTCTTCTCACACAGCTTAAAGGTCGTGATCTGAGCGTGGCTTTTTTCACTCCAGCGCTGTCCTCCAGACAGTCTCGTCCCTTCACCTGATGAAGGCCGCTTTGTGTTGTGGCCGAAACGTCGTGATTATTGTTATTTTATTTTTTACCTACGTGACTTTACCCAATAGAACCAAAGAGTACAGAATCAGTATCTTTATTTAGACTGCGGGAGGAATCCAATGAGCTATGAAGCTCTTTTTCACAGATGCCCAGTATGGGCGAGTCAAATAGAAAGCAGAGCACGTTATTTCACAATCCCTGTCAATGGCGACATGAGAGATGATCTTGAGTGAAAGCCACCTCTTATGTGTTTGTTCCTCCAATAACTTGAACGCGAATGCAACGCATGAACACGTGAGCAATACGTGCCAACACGTGTGAACGAAAAAGCACGCCTCATGACCCGTTAGTGTGAGTTGACCCACACTGGTTTTGGGCACCGCTGCTTTCAAACGCAATGCAGAGTGGAACTTCTCAGATCCGCAATCATCATGGGGGTGACGCCATCGTGGATACGCGTTTGGACTTATTTTCAAATCTTTCTTATGCGTCACTACTTAACGAACAATGCCTCTCGTCCGAAACAGGCGACCTGGTGACGTCGCCCAAATGCAGTGGCAGAGTAAGTGCGCGCCGATTACGCCGTTGTAGCGTTTGCAGGGAGTGTGCTAAGCCAGTAAAAAATGTTAGATGCGTTTTCCGTGATAAAAATACTGCGACGGTGAGCATCAGTCCCCTTTGGATGATGTGGTAACGTGCCCATTTGTAATTACAAAGGAGTACTAATATAGAAATGTGTCCGATAGAACGTGTAGCAAATAGTCTGTTATCAAGTTCAGACCGCAACCCATGTACTTCCTCGAGTAAGCTATCCTGCCACAACCCACGGCACAGCAAACATCACAGCCCACGCCACAGCCAATGGCATAGCCAACGCTGCCACAGCCAACGCTGCCACAGCCAACGCAGCGGCAAGCGATCAACTTCCTGGTTCACCGTAGTTTTTTTGTTATATGGCCCAACCCTAAAATAATGTATCGACCGTAATATTGATTGCAAAAAATCTACGCGTTAAGATCTACTTCCTGGCGTACCAATAAACTGTGTACAAGCAAGAGCTGATATCAGACATTTAAGACTTGGATTCTGGAGAAAAAAACACATCGTATTTCCTTATTTGCCAGCAGATTTGCAAGGACATGATCATGCTATTAACCCTCTCTGCAAATGTAGGCTTCTGTAATTCAGTTGCTGCATTTTAGCTGCAGACGCAGTGCTTTGGAATGTGAGCAGTGGCAGTGACAGTGGGTCACAATGGCCTATCATTGCGGGAGGATGTCATGCGGCCTTTAATATCCACACTGCGGCGATGTTAATGCCCCGCTGAAAATTAACGACCAGCAGGAGGACCCTAATGACTGAGTGAATGCCAAGTGGCTGAACGGCAGATGCGCCAAGCACTAACCTGCCACAATGCATCTACGGGCGAATTAGTCTTGTATCCAATACAAGCTTGTGTAATCTGAATGATTTATCAATCGCAATAATACACTGCTAAGAAACATGCTCGGCAAAACTGCTGAAATCAATGATGACAATTTAATAGCCGTTAAAAATATTCAAAAATTCACGAGAAAGGAAGCAGCGTAAAATTGGGTATCAACGTTTTTTTTCTTTTTGCGCGCAGAGGGTGGCAAGACAGTGGAGCGGCCCATGTCGTGCAGTGAGGTGGTAATTGTAAAACTTTGGCAGCTCACGCCCCAAGTGAAACAACGGTGTGGGGCATTGTCCAATCATGCCCCAAGCAGCGCAATTACATACGATACGCCGGTTTACGTCGGGGATGCATTTCGGAAAGGTGCAATGACGAATTTCGTAAATGACGTCAATCAAAGTGTTTTACAGGGTACGGTGGTGAAGGCACGAAGGCTGAGAGGCGACGGATAACGAGAAAGGACGGACGACTATGCTGTCAGCGATGTGAGTGTGTGGGGTTGAGGCGACGGCAAATTATAAGGTGGCGGAGTTACTAATAAAGTGACGACGTATTTGCGAACAACTTAAAAGGGGGAGACATAACTCCGGGTATTACTGTACCGTAACTGACAAACAATAAAGATCACATACAATAGAAGTTTTTTGGGTTAGATCGCGTAAATATAAATGTGTCGTTAAACCCGCCACCACCTGACACAGCCATGTAGTAAGGTTTGTCACATGAACCAAATCTGCCAATTAGTTACTAGTACAGCACACCGTGGGTACACCGGTGTGCTGAACTAGTAACGAATTGGCACATTTTGTTTACGTAACAAATCTTACAAATTGGCTGTGTCAGGTGGTGGCAGGTTTAATGACACATTTATATTTACGTGATCTAGCCCAAAAAAACTCCTATTGTGGATAATATTGGTCGTGAAAGTCTACTACTAGGTGTTAAACTAACTACGATTATACTGGACACACAATGACCAACGGTGGCTTGCAGTCTATCTGCAAAGGACTAAAACGCGTCTCTGAATTATACAACCTGCGGAAAGAAATAACAAACGACCGCACCCCAGAACGAGACTCAAAATCCTCATTGGGAACTCGCGGAGGCGGACACCCTCGGTGCACCCAACGCCGAAGCTGAGGCCCAGCCATTGCGGGCAATCTGGGGGCTCTCATAGCGCGGAGCGTCGCGTGCCGGGCACGTCCGGCTCAGCCCGGCAAATCTCCCCCACGTCTTGAACACGATAAACGAATCCCAATCGTGCGGCA